ATCAAATTCTTGAGTTTTGAGATTTGGTATATATGCAGTTTTGCATTTCAGCATGTAGAAAGTTAGCATTATGTATTCATGACACATGTTATTTCCCTTTGCATAGTTAGATTACTAACTCACTTCTTAATTTTATTGGTACTAGTTCCATCCTTAGGAGGGGATTGATGGTATAGAATTAAAAATTTGCTACAGCAAATGATTGCTTGGAAACAAAAACAACTAGGACAACCTCAGGGCAATGAGGCCATCTTAAGGCAACTAAGAGACATAGTTGCCTAAATTAACTAAACAATTAAGAGACATGAAGTTGAATTAAGGAATAAGAGACCAAAAGAGAGTTAGAAGAGTCTAAGATTAGAGGACTATCGTGATGTAGGATTGTATAAAGGACTGATCTAACAAGATTTTGGCTTAACCTTAAGTCTAGTCCTTTTATGAAAAGGTCTAAGTTAGATAACTCATGGTCTGGTCTAGATATAACCCAAAGCTGAATAGGATCAAATTGGTCCAATAGGACTAAGAGACTAGTTCAAGTCTTGTCTAGTATCTCACTTTGTTATTTTTCTTTTTCATTTATGAGAGACAACGATTTATTTTAATATAATAAACTCAATTAACATAAAATTACTTTTAGTCATATAAAATTTATCCTAACAAAAATAATTATAAATCCATAATAATCTCCAATAATAAAAAGTATTGTAGTTATAACAAAAAGAATTCAAATTAAACAAACTTTAATAACATGACATTGAACAACTTTCAACATGTCTAAAGTCCATTACACCAAGTTAATAATAAATTTCACCAATAAAAGGAGAAAATGGAGGTTGGTCAATGTTAGAATTTTACTCAATATTCAGGACTTCACAAGTACAAAACACAAAAATTACTAGTTATTGTTATAAATTAACTTATTGTAATAATAATTAATAAATTAATTATAATTATATTAAATCAATTTATAAGATCGGACCAAGTGGTCCAGATACTTGGTTTCTTATCTAGTCCAACTCAAAAAAAGAGTCTAGTCTTTTTAGTCCTTTTAGTCTTGAAAGACCAATTTTTATCCGAATTTGATCGTATGGAGTTGTTTTGGGTTAGACCAAACCAGACTAAAGGACTTTTACACAGTCTTATCGTGATGGTTGAAGAATTGACATTAGGGATGAGAATCACAACAGACCTATTTTATTCCCACTCGAGGGAGTTAGTAGCAGTGGCACTCATAAAAATTGGATCGAAATGTTCATTGATAAAGCTTAGAAGAGCTTTTTAAGGTTTAATCGTCTTAATTTTGATGACAGCATGAAACCCAAAGGTTCGAAAAGGCGAATAGATTGTTTGGAAATGGTCTTCTCAATAATCACTTGTACGTCTGAACAAAGGGTACTACTAGCTACAATAATGTTAAAGGATGCTACTAAACAATGGTGAAAAAGTATCAAGCCATCTGAAGGTCTTACTTGAACCAGGACAAGTTTAAGAAGAATTTTTTTACTGTTATTTTGCCATTGTCTTCAAGTTGAAAGGGAAGTAGAATTCCACAAATTTGAACAAAGGACTATGGATGAAGAAGAGTTCATTATTAAGTTTAATGAGTCGTCAAAATACTTGTCTTACTTGTAAAAGGCTGATGATAGCTAATGGAGGGCTAATATGTTTCTAGAAAAGGCTGAGCTTAAGTATAGAAAACAGTTGGCACCTTTTAAGATTACATATTTTGAGGAAATATGGAATAAATTAAGAATTGTGGGTAGGTGAAAGAGGGAAGCTGAGGCCAAGAGAGGGAAGAATAGTCATGGCCATTCCTCTTTGCATGTTGGCCCCACAGGAGGTATGAGAAATAAATCAAATGTTAGCCTTTGAAGCTTAGGGAGCTATGAGAGAAACAAAGGAAGCTGTAAGAAAGGCTTATAGTCTTGCAATCTCAAGGAGTTATGGAAAAAGTGGTTTAAATATTACAAGGTGTTCAATATTTTAGACTAAAAATTATTTTTTAAAGGTATCCTACAAATAGGACAAGAGGGATTACATATATAGTACATCTAGGATACTAGAACACAAGGGTGGAGATAGGGGAATCAGTAGCCCCCTAAATTTTTAAATTTTTTTAATAAAATATAGGAGTTATATATTTTTAGCCCCTGAGTTAGGACATTATAGAAGTTTTAAGATATTAGACAGAATTTTCATTTCAATTCTATATGTAGTTTCTTACACATGTATGATGAAACTGTTTTATTATCTTGAAGATGTAGCTATCATAGAATTTTGTTATTTTAACAAGATAATGCTATCTTGCTCTTAAAACATTGATGTCATTTAATTTTACTTTCATTTTATATTGATAAAAGGAATTATGATAAGTATTACTTACAATTATCAATTGAAAGAATTAATTAGTAAGTTCAATAGTTGGCATAAATATTTTGTGCCAATTAAACGTCATTACAGTATTGATATATTTATTTATTTATTTATCACAATTATTAATTGAAAGAATTAAATAGTAAATTTAATGAGTAAATAATTAGAGCTTCTAAATAGAAAAAAAAATTAAATCCCAATTATGCTTTTAAATCATTCAATGTTAATAGGAAAGATAAAATTTTAACCAGTTTAGTGATAGTTTCTACTGAGAAGGAAATTGCCAAAAAAAAAATTATCATGAACATGATAATTAATGATTTTTATATCATAATAAATCGATGAGTGAAATTTTTTTTTGAGCCACGATGAGCAAAACTTAAAATATGAAAATATATATTTATTTTTGTTATATATTTTTAAAATTAAATATGAATATATATATATATATATATATTGAAATATCTATATTATATCAGTGTTATACATATATAATTTTTCTTGAATTATTATATATGCTTTGTCATCTTGACTTTTCTTAAACAAAATTTTTAGCTCCACCCCTTCTAGAACGCAACGTAAATTGTGGGTGATATAACATGTAAAATATTTTTTTTATTGAAAATGAGAAAGCAAGATGTCAGAAAACAGAGAACAATCAAGGCTATTTTGATGCAGATAAATTACGAAGAATATACAAGAGAATTGTGGTTTTCTTTAAAAAAATAATAATTTGTAATTTGGGTTTTGAAAATCAAGACAGATTTCAGGGCCCTTAAAAGAGTTTTTGTACAAATTTTCATGTATTACAACACCAACAAGATCTTTACCTACTAGGATTTGAACCATGGCATATTATAGTGTAAAGGTTTTTACTGGACAAACCGTCAATGACGGACTCTTATATTTAAATGTTAATTAATCGGCAAATTTGGAGCGTTCATGCTGGGAGTTTCTTTATCAACTTGGGCAAGTCATGGGCCCAGGAAAAAGGGCTTCTTGAACTTAATCAAGTTTTTTTGGGCCCAATAGGCCGATGAATTGGACCTATGTTATCCAAAGAAATTGATATTTAATGATCGCTTTATTTCTTGAGTAGCTAAAGTTTTGTTTAGCGGCAAGTACACAAATCTATATTTTCTATATGTAAAAATGATCAAACATCTGTTTGATTGGAGATCACGATGAGGTTATTCTTTATTTTAATTTAATGATGAACTAATAGATGTTTTTATTTTTTGTTCAATTTTTTTCACAAAACTTAAATTAATTATTTCTGCCTCATTGTCATACTTTGAACAAAATAAGGATACAAAATTGATTTATGATATCCAATCAGTAATATATTGAAATCTGGGTTAATCTGATTAATTAAACCGATGAATGTAATAATATATTCTGTTTGTAACCAGTTTAACCATAGTTTGATTATGATTTTGACTATTAATCTTAAAATTAATACCTTAATTAATCCAATAATTAGTCTACTAATCGTGACAACGAGGCACCCAATTTTATTTGATTTATTTTTCGTGGTGGGTGGAGAAAGTATCAACTTTTATCTCTTAAAGTTAACTTCAATGGTCGGGCCCCCTGAAATAAATGGCATATAATAAACCATTATTTTATATTCACAAGGTCTTTTTTCTTCTGGGCCAACACTCACAGTTTTTTCACTTCAAAGATTATGCGATGAATTAGAGTCATGCAGAAAGATTAGATTGCGTTGAAAAGGTTAAACCCCCCCCCCCCCAACCTTCTTATTGTTGAGCTTTTTAGGTTTGCCTAAATAAAAAATTAATTAATAAATTAAATTTTCAAAATTTTACCCATTTTCAATGCCATACAATGAACTTAAAATTTTCTCATGTGAGAAATTTGTAAAATGTTTTTTAAGTGAACGAGACATAAAGGAAATAGTAAATCTCACATTTATAAATTGTGTCGGTCTTTTTTTTTTTGGGCCTTTCTTTTTACTACCATGAGGTATTAGAAATCATGGTTTAATTCAGATTTGAGCACAGTCCAACTCTTGACACTTTTACAATTGATTTAGTTTTTGAAAGTTTGGGATATATTTTATTAATAAAAATGCTTACTGAAGTTCTCATTTTTTTCTTGGATGCTCTTAGAAATAGAAGATCTTATTTAGTTAACTTAACATAACTCATAATTTGTCTTATCATAACTAAGAGGGGAAAAAGGATTAAAAAGGAGAGATTCCATGCATTAACACATCTTGTCTTTTAATGGCTTTTGATAATCATCAACCTATAAATAGATTTGGGCCATTTATAGGCTTTTAATGGCTTTCGGTATTTACACTACGATGAGATTCCAAGTTTCCAACCATCCAAGTGATCCAACACTGATTTTAATAGTTGAAATTTAAATTTGTTATTTATAAGTTTTTATATAAAAATTTTTTCCAGCATAATAACATTTTTAAAATTATCTTTATTTAATATTTTTATATCTATTAAAAAAATATATTAAATCTATACACTCTTTGACTTTAAATGATCAGCACCAAAAGCAATCAATGAGGGTGGAAAGTAGTTCTGCTTTTAATGCAATATATATACGCACACATTATATCTTAGGCAAAAAGCATTCACAAACAATCAAACCCTTCAGCCATTAACAATGGTAATCGAATTGGCAGGCCGTCCAACCGCTGCAGCCGCATGGTTCACCACCTGCGCCGTCGTCCTCTTCCTCGGCCGCCATCTCTGCCGCCGTAGATACAACTTCCCACCAGGCCCAAAACCCTGGCCCATTATTGGCAATCTCAACCTGATAGGTCCTCTCCCTCACCGATCCATTCACGCTCTCTCACATAAATACGGGCCCATCATGCATATCTGGTTTGGATCCAAACCCGTCGTGGTGGGCTCGTCCGTCGAGATGGCCAGGGAGATCCTGAAAACCCACGACGCCACCTTGGCTGGCCGCCCCCAGTTCGCCGCCGGCAAGTACACCACCTACAACTACTCCGACATCGCGGGGTCCCAGTACGGCCCGTACTGGCGACAAGCTTGCAAAATATGCCTGACAGACCTGTTCAGTGTGAAACGCCTGGAATCCTACGAGTACATCAGAAGAGAAGAATTGAAAGCTCTTTTTAGAGAATTACACGATTTGGCGAACAAGACCATAGTGCTGAAAGATTACCTCTCGACTCTGAGCCTGAACGTTATAAGCAGGATGGTGCTGGGTAAGAAGTACACGGAGAAGAGCGACGACGCAATCGTGTCGCCGAAGGAGTTCAAGAAGATGCTCGACGAGTTGTTCTTCTTGAATGGAGTGTTGAACATCGGAGACTTCATTCCATGGATTAATTTTCTGGACTTGCAGGGTTATATAAAGAGAATGAAGGCAGTTGGCAAGAAGATGGATTGCTTCATGGAGCATGTTTTGGATGAACATAATGAAAGAAGAAGAGGGCTTCCAGATTTTGTTCCAAAAGACATGGTGGATGTGCTTCTTCAGCTTGCAGATGATCCCACTCTCGAGGTCAAGCTCGAGAGGCATGGAGTCAAAGCTTTTGTTCAGGTACTACTTTTTTCTCTAATGAAACTCGGAAAAAAAAAAAAAAAAGACCAATGTGACTGATCGATGAATTTGTGTGACATCATAGGAGTTGATAGCCGGAGGAACAGAGAGCTCAACAGTGACAGTAGAATGGGCAATTTCAGAGCTTGTAAGAAAGCCAAAGATATTCAAGAAGGCGACAGAAGAGCTCGACAGAGTCATAGGAAGAGATCGATGGGTTGACGAAAAAGACATGGCCAATTTACCATACATCAACGCAATCGCAAAAGAAACCATGAGGCTACACCCTGTGGTTCCCATGCTCGTGCCCAGGCTAGCCAGAGACGACGTGAAGATCGCAGGCTATGACATCCCCAAAGGAACCCAAGTCCTTGTTAACGTGTGGACCATAGGAAGAGACCCTGCAATATGGGAAAACCCTAATGAGTTCAAACCAGAGAGGTTCATGGGGAAGAACATCGACGTGAAGGGACACGACTATGAGCTGTTGCCGTTTGGATCAGGAAGAAGAATGTGTCCAGGTTATCCTTTAGGGATAAAGGTGATTCAGGCGAGCTTGGCAAATCTGTTGCATGGGTTTCATTGGAGACTCAAGAGTGGCATGAAGAAGGAGGAGTTGAACATGGAAGAGATTTTCGGGCTCTCTACACCAAAGAAACATCCTCTTGAAGTTGTGCTTGAGCCTAGACTTGGTGCTCATCTCTATATTCTCTGATTCTCTCTCAGGTATGATCAGTGTAGTTTCCCTATGTTGCGAGCTGCAATAGATCTCAAGTTTTCATGGACCTTTAACAATTATTATAGCTTATAAAATATGCTAGAGTATGCTGCTATGTGTTTAATGTTTTCCTATGTCGGAATAAATGTTTTCTTTCTCCCATGAAGTGAGAGTAATGGTTGTTACTGTCACATTATGTGTACTGAGATGATTAAGCCTGTAGTGTAAGATGAATTATATTAATACGATGTTTATGATCAATTTCTTGAGCTGGGTTGATCAAACATCTTTTATCTCTCTCTCTTCTTTATACATGGATGCGTGCTATCTTGAATTGTTTGATATATCTGGATGATTTAGGCACAATTGATATCGCCAAATTAAATCTGGAATTAATGCCGTACAGATTGAACAAATTCCATGATAAAAACAAACATCTTAACTATTTTTCTAAAAAATAATAATATAAGTTTATTAAAATTCATGACAAATATTGTTAAAATTGACAGTGAATTTAATAGTTTTAAATATTTTATAATCTCCAAATGAAATTGTTTTAAAAGAATCCAAGTCCTTATATGTAGCTAATTTTTCCTATATCTTCATCATTGGCCATTGATTCATAATTAAATTTACAAGATTATTGATGGTCTATCAAGAAGCAATAAGTGTTGGAACATGAAAGGATCAGTCTTTTCTTTTCTTTTCTTTTCTTTAGGCTGGAAAAGATTTATTATTGGAATACAATTCATGTGTCTCCTTATCTGTATGGTACAAACTAATGAGATTAAACAAAAATCAAGAGGCAGAATGACTCCAAAACAGGCCATCAAGTTGGACCCACATCAAAACTTTTACTTCAAATAATAATAGTGAGTCTACTGTCCATTGCGGACTTTAATATGAAAGTGAGAAAAAGGATTTAGAGCTATATGGTCCTCATTGATTTTCTTTTTGACCGACATGTGGTCCTCATTAATTAAGTGAAACATGAAATTTGATTTTGGATTTCAATTAAACTAATTTAGGCTTGCATGAATGGTATTTAGATTGAGTAAGTGATTTAAGTATATTTAGGCAGCGAGTGTCTCACATGTTACAACAATAGTTGTTTGGTTTAATCAAATGGTTGCTAGATATTTTATCATGTAATACTGAAAAATTAAAATATCAAATCTCAAATTTTTAAAAGAACTAACGTATGTAATTGAAGAATTAATGTTCTGATTCTTAAATGTTAATTACTGCACAAATTTGGAGCGTTCATCATGGGAGTTTCTTTATTGACCTTGGAAATTCTCTCAGTTAATCAAAGTTTTTTTGGGCCAAATGGGCCGATGTCTTATCCAATAAAAATTCATACATACATACATACATATATATATATATATATATATGAAAAAATTATGTATGCGTCTTGTCACTTGTGAAACAAACTTGCTAGCAAATAAGTCTTGTAAAATTCTAAAATCATAATCAGGTTTCTCAAAATTTGGGTGTAATTTAAAATTGAACTACAAAAATAATAATACCTCTATAAAACATATATTATATTAATCATATATTATTAACAAAGTTTAACATTAATTATTTACAATTATTTCATTAATAATTTATAATTTTAATTTTAATTTTTTACAATTATAACTTCACATTCAAATAGTTAAACAATCATGCATTACTAAAAAAATTTTAACATTAATTGTTTGCAATTATTTCATCAATAATTTACAATTATAACTTTAACTTTTTACAACTGTAATTTTATATATTCAATAAATTTTTAAGAAATTTTGTTGTGGTTTCTAAATTTTGTAAAATTTATTTATAAATATGTCATCTTTACAAAATCTATATGTAATTTTCCCTCTATTTATTGCATAAAATGGAAAGCAAAATTGATATTTAATTATCGCTTTTCTTCTTAACTGGGTATAAGTCTGTTGAGGAGATCTTGTTATTTTATATTATCATTGATGTTTTTACTTTTATTTTTATTTAATGATTGATGATATTATCCATTCGGTTGAACAATTATACTATTTACAAGTTATAAACCACTCAATTATCATTTTCTATGATAAGAACTTATACTAATTCTATTTATATAGTATAAAATATTAGCGTAATTCATTTGATTTGATTTATAAATTTATAAATATTGCAGCTTATTATTTAGACTTGGATGATACAAGCAACAACACTATTTTTATTTTAAACATACTCATAATGATGAATTTAGGGTGGCAAGTGCTCCCATATTGTAATGCTTTATTTGCAATTATGCTTTGTTTTTACAACAATAAATTTTATCCCATTAGATAGGGTTAGCTACATGAATAGTATGATGTCATTGTGCTCTATCATTAACCAAACTTTTAAGAATATTATTAATTAAGAGATCTCATTTAACAATTTTCATAAGTGTTCTCTTTGATTTTTCTCTACCTCTCTTTACAAAACTTAAGCTTACTGTTCCACTCTCCCATCGGTGCATCTTGTAATCTTCTCTGTACATGGTCAAACCATATCAAACATTTTCTTGTTGTTCTTCCCTTAACAAATGCCACATTTACTTTTTTTTCATATATGCTGATTTTGAATTTTATTTTTATATATATGCTCGCATATCTATATTAACATTCTCATTTCTGCTACTTTAACTTTATGCTCTTGATGTTCCTTTAACGCTTAATATTCACTATCATATAACATAGCTGATTTTATAATAGTTTGATAAAACTTCGATCACATATAACTCCTTTAACCTAGGTTTCTCCAATTAAACCACCCAACTTGTATTATATGTGCAAAGTGTCCATCAATTTCTCCATCATGTTAAATAATAGCTCTTAAATACCTAAATTTTTTCATTTGATGTATAATCTGATCTCTCAATCTCACTTTTAAATTACTATTAATTGATCTCTTATCAAAATTACAATGTAAATTTTCATCTTACTGCTATTCATGCAAAAACCCTTCAACTTCAAGATTCTTCTCCGTAACTCAAACTTATAATTAATCTCTATTCTTATCTCTACAATAAAAACTATATACATTTAGGGATTTCCTCTTGAATATGCTTAATCAAAACATCTAAAGCTAGGTCAAACAAATAAAGACTCAAAAATAATTTCTAGTATAGTTCAATTCTTATAGAAAAATCCTTTATTTCATTGCCAGATGTTCTTACATTGGTTATTGCCCTCACGCATATCTTGTATAGCTTTAATATAAGCAACCCAAACTCCATTCTTTTACAAAACCTTTCAAAGTACTTCTTTCAGTACACAGTTATAAGCTTTTTGTAAATCAATGAAAATAATGTGTGAGTCCATTTTTTAGATGTTTGATAGGCATGATCCTAATTCTCAACGGAACTGGGTTCCATCACATACTCGATAAAACTTATTCAATTTCATGGGAACTCAAACTTATGAACTATCTTGCCTCTGGTAAGAGATTTGGTAATGGCAATAAAGATGGAGAAGTAATGATGGGGAGGTGGCAATAATGTTCTATTGTTAGAAACAATAATTTAAACATATAGTAATCCAAATGTTCCCTGGGGAGGCTGCCAATTTACAGATCTTTTGTGTAATGACTTTTATCATTAACTTGCAATTAAACTAAACAATAATGGTTTAACAAAGACTTTCTTAATGAAAAACAATTTACACTTAGGATCCTAAAACTAAATTAAAATGTAGTCATGTTATTAATCAAGAAATTAGAGTATATTTAATTATGTGAAAACATGGAAAAGAGAAAATCAAGAAAAAGAAATTGCTAAAGGATAAAACTATCATTTTTGGAAAACTATGCTAACATATCGTGGTTAAAAACTCCTTGGCTGCGGTTGCCTATCATTGACTCACTTGCCACAATGAATTTCACCTTCACCGTGGCTAATGCTACTTATGTCACGGCTTATAGTATAGAAGCTTTCTTACTATGTCCAATGACTTCCTCGTTGTAGCTAGCATAAACATACATACTCACAGTGTCTAAATATGTTTCTAATAGGAATACCATTTCTAAATGAATATAAGTAATTTACATGGATGGTCTTTCCCAAGACACAAGATCAAGCAATCACAAATGCCCAAGTTAAATGCTATGCAATAGAAACATGATTAAAACATGCACAATCCTTACTGCTGACAATAGTAAGTATTCAATTACACTGACTAAATAGCTAGAGACTTTACTTATATAGCTAAGTGTCTCTAGACCTCGATGCTTTCCCCTTTGCATTATTGTCAATAGTCAAGCACATATTCAAGTATGGCAAATGCAAGCACATCAGGATGGAATCATAAATAACAATCTTTCCATATTTAACATGTATAATAAAACTAATGATTAGTAACCAAAAGGCACACAATGTAATGATGATAAATTATGCATGATCACATGTGTTCCATCCTTATTCCTCTCCTTACATCTTTTGATTAAATTCATGAGCTATTAAATCATATAGGACCAACCCATGTGATTGGATTGGAACCGGATTGGATTTGCTCCTTAATTGTGAGAGATGACTCAACTATGGCTCCATAGTCACTCTTGGACCAATCCAAGGTAATACCCAGTCTAGGGTAATACCTAATTTAAGGTAATAGTCAAGAACTAAAACATTGAGGCCCCTGAGTGCTGGTGAGTACTACATGAATTTTCTTATCGCCCTACTCTCTCAGTTGAACTCCTACTCATTCATGATCATGCAACATGCCTATGATACTTAATGACATGTAAAAAATGTATGCCTGATTAACTTATCTCATAATCAAGTACATGCTATCTAGCCATGTATAGTTAACCATTACTTAAGCTTCATGCCAATATCATAAACTTACGCACAATGATACATCAGCAATATATACTTTATAGCTTTGCTCATGCATGTGATTATCTGATAAAATCATATATCCTTACTAATATCATGCCATGAGTGCTTAATCACTTAATCATACCTCCATATTTTCATACCAATGCTTATCAATTCACATACCAAAATGTATTTGTGAAAATTACAATGGTCATAATATCAATATTACATTGTATTTGATAACCACATTGAAAATTATTTAATTACTCGATCACATATTCATATTCTCATGCCAATGCCCATAAATTTACATGTCATAAACAATGCTCATGGAGTTTTCACTAGCTATCATGTCCTTTACATATCATGCTTAACAATTGTATAAAACTTCATTTAATCATCCCATATAACTCATGCCATTAACAAGCTCATGATTACAATTCACATAATTCATA